GATGATTGCTTCGTAAGAATTCTCAATACCCCATTAATGATTGGTTGTTGATTTTGATAGTCTGATGTTAAGTAGTAAGTTTGTGTTCTTCCAGAAAATATGAAGAGATCTGTGCACCTCAAGTGGAAGAATTTTGTTACATAACTGATAACACATACTTTAAAGAAGAGGTATTGCAAATGGAATCATCTGTCTTGAATTACTTGAAGTTTGAAATGACAGCTCCAACACCGAAATGTTTCTTAAGGTAAAGTCAGTGATTGTGATGTTGGCAATGTTTTTTTGTTCAATGAACTCGTAATTCTGATTTGTCGATTCGTTGAATCGTCGCAGGCGATTTGTTCGAGCTGCTCAAGGGTCCACCGATGAGGTTTCGTCGATGCAGCTGGAATGCTTGTCCAACTTCCTAGCTGAATTATCTCTTTTGGAATACAGTATGCTATGCTACGCACCGTCGCTCGTAGCTGCATCGGCGATCTTCTTGGCGAAGTTCATACTTGTTCCAACCAAAAGACCATGGGTATGATGAGAATCATGTATGTTCTTTGTTACAGAACTCCAACAAACCAATTATACTTATAGAGTATGTATGCTGTTGTTGTGATCTTTGGTACAGAACTCGACCTTGCAGCATTATACACATTATCAGCCATCCGACCTTGTCGAGTGCGTTAAGGATTTACATCGCCTCTGCTGTAACGCCCACAATTCTAGCTTACCAGCCATCAGAGAGAAATACAGCCAGCATAAGGTGAGCGTAGTCTTATGATGTTAAGTTGTTCATTTGATCTTGTAATGTTCTTATACTGACTGATATTTTGATGGCTTTTTGCCTCAGTACAAGCACGTGGCGAAGAAGTATTGCCCTCCGACGATACCGCCCGAGTTTTTCCAGACTCAAACACAGTAGATTTGTACTCCAATGGCGGCTCTGTTGGATTAGTAGCAGCCTGACTTAGCAGCAGCAGTTAGAGACTAGAACAAGACTAGAGAGAGACATAAAATACTCCCTTTGTAAGCTTTTGAATGTAGCCATAGCCAATGCCACTGGTTTTTCTACATAATGTTGTCGGGATCTCCGCGGTTTGTTGTAATGTAGCGAATTACTGAAATACCAAAATGCTGAGATTTGTACAAAGAAAGTGTTCATATGTTGTGAATTGTCTCCCACGTCGGCTAATTAAGGAGATGATCATGAGTTTATAAGTTAAGAAAGAAATACATCTCCACGAGACCTTTTAGTCTCGAACAAAGTCGTAAAAATTTATGTTTAAAGTGAACAATATCATATCATCGTGCACGTTCATGCTTCCTCGCATGCCTCAAAACTTGATAGAAAAAGGAATGATCTAAGCTAAAATTTAGAGGGCAACTAAGAAATGTCTTAACATTAAAAGCACAGCGATTATTTTTATACCAATATGTCAATTATATTTATATATTACATGAGTGTACATGCTAATATGGGCTTTTGGGTTTAGGATGGCCCAGTGACACCATTATGGGCTGCATCGAGGCCCGGTTAAGTCGGGCTTAATTTCATTCTGGGCCTTGTTCTTTTGATTCAGCCAGTGACAATCTTCAAAGCCACAGGGTTCCACGTCATATGAGTTCTGAACGTTGACAGGGCTGATGTAACGTGGGCTCCACGTGGGGGTCCCATCCTCGTAGGAGTTATGAGTCAGCCTCTGAAGATCCGAGCCGTCCATTTTGATGGTGTAGATCTCACCATAGGGTTGGTAGTGATGTGGGTTCGAAATAGGCTCTGCAGATATCCCCGCATTGTCCGTAGTGAACACTAGAACCTTCCCGTCCGGACTCCAATTCGGGTGGTTCGCTCGACCCGCCGAACCGCTTTGAAACAGCTTCCTCAACCCGGTTCCGTTTGGGTGGATCAAGAACAGATCGAAACTTCCGGCGCCGGGATTGTGCCGGTCCGATGCAAATGCAATCCAATCGCCGTCTGGCGACCAACTGCACATCGTATCCGTCCACTGGCCCTCTGTAAGCCGGTGAAGCGCTTTGTTCTCGCCGTCGACGGCGTCCATTATGTACAGGTTCTTATAGCCCGATCGTCCCGACCGGAAAACGATCCATTTCCCGTCGGGGGACGGCGAGGGGAAGGCGTTGTTTTCACCGTTCTTCGTCAGCCTCTTGATAGTCCTCTCGTCATCATCCACGTTGACTGAAATGATATCCACCTGAGAACTCAACGGCGCAAAATCGGGACCGGCGCTGGTGTATACTACACCTTCCCGCACTGGATCCCACGCCGTTGAGAACGCCGCGCCGGGGTAAACCTTCTGTTGATTCGAACCGTCCCGATTGATGACGTATAATCCGGGAAAGTTCACGAAAGCTATACGGTCACCTGCAGGCGAAAAAGAGGGAAACGAACCGTCGATTCTGAACAGGGATAAATTAGAAACAGGGCTACGAACGTTCTCTAAGAACAGGGTATTGCTTTTTCTTCCATTGCCGTCGCCCCTGCACTTGTGGTAACCGATACGAGTCCCGTCGGCGGAGATGAACGGATTGAAATGGTGAGAATTAGGTGAAACCGCTTTTGTCAGCTCCTTGAATTCTCCGGTGACGAGATTGAACAACTCTATGTGGCGGAAAGACGAATCGGGTCTTCTCGTAGCGACAGCGATTAGGTTTTTATTGGCTGGAGAAGTTGCCGGAGTGAACACGTGCAAACCAGGTGGAGTGAGTCGTTCGATTATCACTGAATCGGTAGAAATTTCTCCATCACTCGGGAGAATCGCTCTATATATACTCAGCCACTGGTCATCGCCCCTCCGGTGAAAATAAAGAGTCGAATCGTCGGCCCAACACGGCCAGCCACCATGTTCGACGACCTTAACTCGACGAGTTCCGTCGCGAGTTAGGAAGATATATATATCGGTACTTAGTTCCTCAACTTCGCCGGCCCAGCCCTTCTCGCCATAGGAAGCTACAGCCGTCCAAACTCCCGACGGAGAAACAGAAGGGCTAAAGTCGGCGATTCCATAGGGCGTCAATCGCCGAGTTGTACCCGATCTTAAACTTCTTGAGTACACCGCCGCCCAACTCGTTCTGGACTCGCCAGGGTCCTCGTGAGTCGACACGTACACCAAATAATCGCCGCTTAAATTCGGCCGATCTTTAAAGGAAACCCTAACTTCGTTCTTCTGCTCATCATCCACAAGGGGAATTTGCAGTCGATGAGGAATCTCGAGCGCCGACCGGCGTCTAGCACTAAATCCGGTACCACCGAAAATCGCATCGTAGAAGATTCTGGAGATTCCGTTTCTCTCTGTGACATAAACGAGTTCCAAATCCGGCCGTAAGGACTGTGATTGGTTCGTTAAAAGAGAGAGAATCGAAGATGACGACGACGACGAAGGGAAATAGCCATTGAAATTGACGGATTCGCCATCGGTGATTAGGGTTTCATCCGCTGCAGAAGGGGCCCTGTTTTCATCGGCCGGGAGGGTGAAGACATCGAAGGCGTAGACGGACCTGCCAAGGGTGGTAAATACTATGCTGCCACTACCGCTAGCCGCCGCCGACGACGGGGGAAGGAGAGAAGAAAACTGGAGAAGGAAACAGAGGAAAACTAGAGGCATGGTGGTAGTGAAGTCAGTCTGAGAGTGGAAAGCGCGGAAAATCGCGATGATATGGTACTGTCACCTGTGGTGGAAATAGGGGACACGTTGACAGATAAGTGGGTCCTACTTATGTAATATTTTGTTGACGTGGCAAATCCGGATTGGGTAGGCGTCACGTTGGCAGATAAGTGGGTCCTACTTATGCTGTATTCTACGCTGCGATAAGTTGGGGTTTTCCTAAATGGGTTATATTTGATGGCTTGCTTACATTTCTTGTGGCTTTGATCTTGTGGTCTATGCTTTTGGAGATTCAGTGCATTCCGTCGTCATCAATGTGTCCAGCTCTTCGTATCGGAGATCGAATGCTTGTCGAGAAGGTAAATGTCTCGAGAGTTCCTTTGGTTTTAAGTTGAGTTTTGGATATATCAATGAAATTATGAATCGACTTTGGTTTCTTCTGTTTTTCTGAGATGAATTTTGCCATTTAGGGTTCGAGAAGGTTTTAGGTGTATTTTTGTGTTTGTGGATTGAGATTTTAGCGTTGTTATGATGAAGCTTGATCGATTGAAGCTTCAAAATTATGTTTCGGTTATTTCTTATTCGAAGAAAGTAGATGAATCATGTGTATGAAGGTTGTACTACGAAACATAATCGTTGATAATTTCTTGTTAGTAGCCATTTTCATATCGAAGGAGAAAGAATCGAACGTCTTGGAAACAATATGCACATGAACATCCAACGAATTTTGATCTCAGCAGTTAAGATGCAGGGATTATGACACTAATTCTTATGTCCTGGTTTCATTTTCTTCAGGCCTCTTATTACATCAGAAATCCTTCTATAGATGACATTATAACCTTCCGAGACCCGACACAGGTAAGTCGACGAACGACTCACATGCATGTCTTTTAGTTCAACAGTTTTTCTCTAACACGATGCTGTTGAAATTATAGTGTGCTATAGCAATCTGGATGCAGAGATGAAAACGTCGCTGTAAAGAGAGTTGTTGCACGAGCCAGAGATACGGTTGAGGTATGGAAGACCCTTCTTATCATTGTGTTAATGCTATGCAACTACACTTTTGAACGGAACTAGTTTTATGAATGATTGTCCATGTAACAGCCTAAGCCCACCGCTAACCGATATTATCTGTTTTGGTTCGTTACGTATTGCCGTCAGTCTCATGGTTTTAAAACGCGTCTGCTAAGGAGAGGTTTCCACGCTCTTATAAGAAATCCTTTGTTCCCCTCTCCAACCGATGTGGGAACTCACAATCCACTCCTTTGGGGACCTAGTGTCCTTGCTAGCACACCGCTCGGTGCCTGGCTATGATAGCATTTATAACAGCCCAATTTCACCGCTCGTAGATATTGTCTACTTTGGCCTATTACATATTGTCATCAACCTCACGGTTTTAAAACGCATCTGTTAGGGAGAGGTTTCCACACCCTTATAAGGAATTTATCGTTCCCCTCTCGAACCGACGTGGGATCTTACCGTCCATTTTTTGCACGCTAATAAATGTATACTCATAGCAACCCCTGACTGGTGGCTCTAGTAGTGAGGAATTGGGATGGTTGGTGTATCTAAGGTCCTAGACTCAAGCCTGTACAGAAGATTAGTTCGGGTGAGCTATGAGAATAATGCAAAAAATGGAACTCCTCAATACTCCAATCGTAGTGTTAAAGTTAAAAGAAACTACACATTTATATGGTTATGATCCAACACCTTCCAGGTTTACGAGGATGATTGTATAGTGTAAAAGCTCACACCTGTCTAAAGACAGGAAAGTCCAACGATCCATTTTATAGGAAATGCTACAACCCATTGTTTTTCTTTTGATGATGAACCTACTTTGATACAACAAGTTAAAGGGACCTCTACGTTTCATCCCGGTGCGTAGGGCCAAATTCCTTTAGAGAGCCCTCGAGATGCCTCTATGTCAATGGAATTGCTCAGGATGAAAGCTTCTTAGCAGAGCGGCCAGCATATAACACAAAAGCAACTGTGAGTTTTGTTCAAACTCTACTTTCTTTATTCATTTCACTGCATCATCCTGCAATTTTTTATCACAGCAATAAGACTTCTACTGCACATCCTTAGAGATTTTATAGTCCAACCGAAATCATCAAGGCAATTTGATTATGCATGATGAACCCAAGTTCTTGACCAACTATCTCTAAATTCATGGCATCGATTTTTCTCGCAGCTAACTCGTTAACATTCTGGTCAGTTATTGGAATTAGACTTACCCCCCTGACTAAAATCATATTAGTTTCCTACTGAATGGTCGAGTTTCTAGTTTGTACTTGGTTTTGCTTGTTCATAACTGGCAGCAAGTTCCAGAAGGCCGTTAACATTCTTGTCAGTTATTGGAATTAGACTTAGTTACACCCCCTGACTAAAATTATACTAGTTTCCTACTGAATGCGACATCGAGTTTCTAGTTTGTACTTAGTTTTGCTTGTTCTTAACTGCCAGCAAGTTCCAGAAGGCCGTTAACATTGTGGTTAGTTATTGGAATTAGACTTACTTACACCCCCCCCCCCCCCCCCCCCCCCCCCCCCCCCCCCCCCCCCCCCCCCCCCCCCCCCCCCCCCCCCCCCCCCCCCCCCCCCCCCCCCCCCCCCCCCCCCCCCCCCCCCCCCCCCCCCCCCCCC